CAAATAGAGCAGTGCTTTATAAGTATTTATTATCTATTTATAGATGTTATGTTTAACAAACCATATTTCCTTGATGCAATGAGATTTTTTTCCCCCGTTTAATACGGGAGGATAAAACCTCCTAGCCTTACAATCCGGCAGCAGGTGGCAGAGCAAGCAGCTGCCACCAAAGTGAAGACTGATGGGGCAGGCAAGACTGCCCACTCCCTGTCTGATGATTGGTGTAATCCCCTCTGCTGCTGCCCAGCTGGGCTATGGGAGAGCTCACTACACCTCTGCAGTTATTGCAAGACTCTCTTCAGTCCAGGGTTTGCTCCCACATCCCAGCTGTGGCGCCTGCCATGGCCTGGTGCCACATGCCTCTGGTTCCCCAGTGGTCAGGGCACTGGGAGACAGCTTTGCTCTGTGGGATGTGGTCCAGCCCCTGGCTTTCCCCTGGACCCACCCAGTGTGAGCTGGGCTTCTCCAGGGTGGCAGATGCCCTGTACGTTTATGGACATGTAAGAAAAGTACTTAAAACTACATGTCTGTAAAGTCAGTAAATGTCATTTTAAGCACAAGGTAGGAAATACTGCTCCCCCCAGCCTTTCCTTACTCCTACTTGCAGGCTCTCAGCTGGGCTTCCTCCAGCCCCTGGCCTTTCTCCAAGACTGTCCCAGGCAGGTTCCTCCCAGCTCTGGTCCTTACCCCCAGGCATACTCTGTCTTTTGCCCAGGTGTCCCTGGGCTGTTCAGATCCAGCCTGCTCCCTGGGAGCTTCTCTCTTTTTCACTGCTACATCTGCTCAGCCTCTCCCTGCTGCCTCCTTCTTACATCTCTGCCAGTGCAGGGCCTCCCCGCTCCCGCTGGCCCACTCCAGGGTGCTGGGTGCGGGGCTGGGATGCTGCTGCGCACAGGAGGAAATCAGTGGTGCACAAGTAACCAAGTAGACACTATTAAGATTCCTCCTTGTCGGTCCACATTAGAGAAAACACACGCTGACAGACACCCCACCATAAAGGAAATATACTTTATTAGTAAACATAAACACTAGAAATCTGAACAGGAAAGGAGTGGCACAAGGATACAATGCAGTGTTCCCCAACAACTTCCTTCCTCCATTTTTCTTGCTGAGGTCACAGCACAGTGCTGGCATGTCCGTGTGGGACCAAGCCTGCTTCCCAAGGCCAGACTGATGTAGGGAAGACGCAGTGGGACTGTTCAAGTATTTTATTGGCCCTGGGACCCTCCAAGCCTAGTCCCCCAGTGGTTTTTGGAAGGTGTCCGTTAGACATGAGGTAGCTCTGAGATGAAACAATCCCTGAGATAAAGCGTGCTGGTCTGCCCGAGCTGCTCTGGGCACTGGCAGTGCCTGCAGGTCTGGAACTCGGATCTATGAACAAGTGCCACAGAGCCAGAGCTATTACACACCTCTCCCTCATACTTGTACAAACAGGTTCTCTGTGCATGGGGTAAGCGCATGAAGCGCTTCCCATCTCCATCACCTAACCTGAACCACAGCTGCACTCTGTGAAATGGGGAAGGGGCTGCAGCGGTCAGAGGGCAGCTGTGAAATCCCTTGGCCAGACAGGAGCTTGCAGCCATGAAAATGGCCCTCTCCCCTAGGTCTGAAAACCTTGAAAGTCAAACTGTGAAGGTCAGTCCTGGGGCTGCCAATGCCACAGCACCAACACCTGCCTGTGCTTTAAGGCACCCCGTAGCCCTGAGCCTAGTGCTTTAATTAGGAGCATGCTGCCCCATGGGGTAAGAGCCTGCACAGGGCCAGTGACCACAGAGCAGCTGGCACCCAAGAAGCCCACCACCTCTCACATCCCTCCTCATAGCCCCTCACCCTGACAATGGAGGAAGACCACAGGGATGAGGAAACATGGGCTTGAGTCATTCCTCTCACATTAGATCCTATGGCCCGATGTAGAGGTAGGGCTGGATATGGGCCATGTCTCCAGCATGAGTCTCTTCCACTGTCCAATGAAAAAGCTCCAACTGCAGCCTTCCCCCGCCTGCTCTAGATCTCTCTTGTGGTTCTGGCATGGCTGTTACCACTGCAATACCTAAGCTCCTGTGTGAGTGCTTCAACCGATGCCCTCAAGACAGCCAGAGCCTGGTCAGCAAAGCCAGAAGCATTTGGAAATCATTAAACTAAGCCCGCTGGGGGACGGGGGGACTACCGCCACTGCTGGCCCGCTGAGCAATCCTTGCAAAGCCAGCAGGTCAAGGCACTTAAGGGAGCCCACCCCTGCCCCAGCCCTGGAATGAACTGTGGGCAAGGCAAGGGCCCCCAAAGGGACACTTGCGTGCCTTTACACAAATGCCAGGAGCCTGGGGAATAAACAGGAGGAACTTGTCCTCCTGCTTACCGCAAATAACTATAATGTCATAGGGATAACGGAGACCTGGTGGAGCTCCACCCTTGACTGGACCACGGGTATAGATAGCTATACCCTGTACAGGAGGGATCGTGTAGATAAAAGGGGCGGGGGTATAGCTCTCTATGTTAAGGAAAGCTACACATC